CAGCATAGAGCCCAATGCCAAGCTTGAACTCATAAACCGTGAGATCATGACCTGACCTGAAATCAAGAGTTGGATGCTTACCCAACTGAGCCACCCAGGCGTCCCAAGTTACTAAACTTGAATTACACTGTTAAGATGCATATTGTAAGAATTTGGGGAAAATAGCTGAAAAAAGCAGGAGGAATCCAAACAGTACACTAATATACATTATTTAACATGAAAGGTGGCAGTAAAGGAAGAACAGAGCAAGAAAGGTAGTGAACATATAGAAAATGGCAAAACGGGGAATGTAAATGCAATAATTACCAATGGCTTCTCTAAATGTGAATGTTTCAATGGCCAAATCAAAAGGTAGAGATGTCAGATTGGATTTAAAAAAAGCAGGCTCTCAGGGGCGCCTGGGTAGCTTCAGATTCTGTGTCTCCCTCTCTCTCTGCCCCTCCTCCACTTGTGTGCGTGCGCGCTCTCTCTCTCAAAAGTAAATAAACGTTAAAAAAATGTTTTTCTTTTAAAACAAGCAAGCTCTGACTAGATACGCTTTCTACGATTTAGCAACATCTATTCATGTGGCCACAGCTGCAAACTGGTGTGTGGGGGGTTGTCCAGGGAGCCATGGAGTGTATTACACCAGGAAGGGATGGCAGGGTGACCTGGGAGCCTCCCCAGGGAGGCGAGGGCATCTGAGCTGAGAAGTGAAGGATGAGTGGCAGTGGTTTAACATCTGACCTCCCAGAAATCTGTGTGACAGAAAAGCCTGTCCAAGTACTTGTAGGCACACACAAGGATGTTCACTGCCAACACTGTATGTAATCAAGTTAGACGCGCCTGGATGGCTCTGTGGGAGGCGTGTTCGACTCTCGATCTTGGGGCCATGAGTTCAAGCCCCACTACTTAACACAATAAAAACTTAAAAAAAAAAAAAAGTAAATTAGACCCGGCCTGAACATCTTTTTTTTTTTTTTTTTTTTTTAATGTTTTATTTATTCTTGAGAGAGAGACAGACAGCATGAGCAGGGGAGGAGCAGAGCAAGAGAGGGACACAGAATCTGAAGTAGGCTCCAGGCTCTGAGCTGTGAGCACAGAGCCCGATGCGGGGCTCGAACTCACAGACGGTGAGATCATGACCTAAGCCAAAGTCAGATGCCCGACTGAGCCACCCAGGCGCCCCAGGCCTGAACATCTTTTAACAAGGGATTAACAGATGTTCCAAGTACCCCCATATGATCAAAACCTATGCAGCCAATTCAAAGAGTAAGGTAGGTTTGTTATGAACGAGGACAGATGTCTGAGTACAAGGCACAGTACAAAGCATGACTCTGTTCTTTCTTTTTTTACATACACAGTTACACTGTATGATTATTGAGCTTTTTTTTGTTTTGTTTTGTCTTTTTTACAAAAAGGAACCATACAGTTTTTCCCTAACTGTGGGCCATTAAATCATTTGAGTGGCTCTTGACCATTATTAAGGGGGAAAAGGCCCCCAAACCAAACAGACCGGAATAAAAAACATCAGTAAGGGTAAGAGCTTTGTGAAGCTTCATTCTGGACATCCGTTGGGGGGTTGTAAATATAAAATGCTTTCCCTGTTTCGAGTAATGATAAAAAATGTTTGAAAGAGGGGCGCATGGTGGCTCTATCAGGTGAGCGTCCGACTTTGGCTCAGGTCATGATCTCGTGGCCCCACGTCAGGCTCTGTGCTGTTAGCTTGGAGCCTGGAGCCTGCTTCAGATTCTGTGTCTCCCTCTCTCTCTGACCCTCCCCCGCTTGCACTCTGTCTCTTCCTCTCTGTCAAAAAATAAACATTAAAAAAAATTTTTTTTTGGGGCGCCTGGGTGGCGCAGTTGGTTAAGCGTCCGACTTC